GACTGCTAAGGATTTATACTCTTAGGTTTTTTCGGTAAAGTCACGTAGGGAAACAAATAAATAACTAAATAATAATATTTCTATCTGATGACGGAGACTTGTGTTGCCTCCGAAACGTCGTGATTTATTATTTTGTTTCTATTATTATGTATATTATTTTTATTTATTATTTTTTTACGTGACGTTACTGAAAAAACCTAAGAGTATGAGCCGGTTCATAGTTTAAATGTCTTGCATCGTATTTTCTCTTCTCTCCCTGCACAACCAGGATCTCACTCCGAGCTGCTCGCCGGAAACCGCTCTCGATTCTCCGCTCTCTCTGCTGCTGGCCACGTGCCATCGCATTGCTCCTCCGCACGACCACAACAAACAACAGCAGCGGCATCAGCGGCATCAGCAATGCAACAATGAATATATTGGCCAACACAAAGACGACGACGACGCTGGTGGCGGTGGCGGTGGTGGTGATGTTGGGGCCTTCTCAGCCTTCAAGACGGACATCCGCCTGCCAGGTCGGCACCTGACAATGACGCCTCCGGACGAGCCGGCCGCGAGTGGTCCTGTGGCCACGCAGGCCCTGGGGTACGCCGCTTGCGCCCTTGGCTACCAGCGGCAATGGCACTGGCAGGGCGTCGGGGCTGGCGCCGCCGCCGTGGTGCCACGAATTGACCGCCTGTTGTACGCGCAGCCGCCGCCTCCGCACATGGGCATCTTTGACGAGACTGGGTTTTGTTGGGGTACAAGTGGTGCTTATTACAACCACCACCATCAACAACAGCAGCAGCAGCAAAATCTGCATTACGATCATCAAACTCAGCAGCCGAGTCAGAATCAGCTGCATCATTATCATCTGCAGCAGCAACAGCAAATGATTCCATCGCAGCGGGCATTTTCACTGGAGCAACCAAACTTGCTGATGCCGCTCGGCCAATTTCACCTGCAGCTCCTTCACGATGGGAGCAACAATAGCGCAGCTGCTGCTGCTGCTGACGCGAGCATCAGCAGCAGCATCAGCAGCAGCCATCCACCTCTCCTGCCACTTGCGCAACCCTCAACACGCCGTTGTCATCGCTGCCGGTGCCCCAATTGCCAGCTGCGTCCGGACCAGCAGCAGCAGCAGTTGCAGCATTACGGAGGTTACAACGCCACCAGCAACACCGCTACCAGCAGCAGCACCAGCAGCACCAGCAGCAGCAGGAGGCAGCACACGTGCCACGTGTCGGGCTGCGGCAAGGCGTACGGCAAGACGTCGCACCTGCGCGCCCACCTGCGCTGGCACGCGGGCGAGCGGCCGTACGCGTGCGCGTGGCCGCTGTGCGCGCGACGCTTCACGCGCTCCGACGAGTTGCGGCGGACACGCGCGCACCCACACGGGGGAGCGCCGCTTCGCGTGCGCCGCGTGCGGGAAGCGCTTTGCGCGTAGCGACCACCTGGGCAAGCACACGCGCACGCACCGCGAGGGCGGCGGTGGTGATGGTGGTGGAGATGGTGGAACGGGTGAGCAGCAGCAGCAGCTGCAGCAGAAGAAGAGGAAGCATGAGAAAAGCGAGGCGTAGCGTTGGAAGAAGTAAAAGCAACTTGCGGTAGGAGTTTAAGGAACATTCGTGGCCGTGATTGTGTTGCTGATAGAGCCGCCACTCCCGTACTAAACTGAAACCTTATTCTTCTTGGTTCTTTCGGTAAAGTCACGTAGAATGGAAGTAATAAAATAATAAAAATAAAACATAATAAAATAATTCTCACGACGTTTCGGCCACAACGCAAGCAGCCGTCCTCAGGTGAAGAACAGGTCTGTCGATAAGACAGAGTCTGAATGACACGTCCTGGGCTTGGAGCGTCTATTTAAGCTGTGAGCGAGGAGGAAGATGAAACCTCCTTCTTGATTTGAAGCTTTCGTGACTGCAGGAATCTATACTCTTTGGTTCTTTCGGTAAAGTCACGTAGGTATTTTAGTTTATACCTACGTGACTTTACCGAAAGAAACAAAGAGTAAAATCTTCTTTTTTATTTTGCCGGGTAAGGCTCCCCTGAGCTCCACAGCTCTTTTTTTCTGAAGCGACCTGGCCACAAATGATAGCTCAACGAAGTCGCTTGCCACGTGGAAATTTATTGCGGCCAAATTACTATCAACACCTGCCGCCCGGGGCGTCTTGGAGCGACTTGTCTGAACACATTTGAAAGGGGGGGGGCAACCCCCAGTGGCAGCTGCCCTTTTACGAGGTGAACTCACTCAGAAACCGGCCTCCAAACAAGGGGCATTAGTCCGCCGGTCGGGGGGGGGATGATTGCCGTGTGTATGTTAGGATTGAGTAAAGGTGCGATGTCATTTTCGTCCTATTGCTACGGTTGGCAACAGCAGCAGAAGCAACAGTTGTAGCAGCATAATCACTGGTAGCAGTAGCAGCAGCAGCAGCAACAGCAACAGTTGCAGCAGCAGAGTCACAGGTGACAGTAGAAGCAGCAGCAACAGCAAGAGTTGTAGCGGCAGTCACTGGTAGCAGTAGAAGCAGCAGCAACAGTTGTAGTGACAGAGTCACTAGTAGCAGTAGAAGAAGCAGCAGCAGTTGTAGCGGCAGTCACAGGTGGCAGTAGAAGCAGCAGCAGCAACAGTTGTAGCAGCAGAGTCACAGGTAGCAGTAGAAGCAGCAGTAGTTGTAGCGGCAGAGTCACTGGTAGCAGTAGAAGCAGCAGCAGCAACAGTTGTAGCGGCAGAATCACTGGTAGCAGTAGAAGCAGCAGCAGAAACAGTTGCAGCAGCAGAGTCACAGGTAGCAGTAGGAGAAGCAGCAGCAGCAACAGTTGTAGCAGCAGAGTCACTGGTAGCAGTAGAAGCAGCAGCAGAAACAGTTGCAGCAGCAGAGTCACAGGTAGCAGTAGGAGAAGCAGCAGCAGCAACAGTTGTAGCGGCAGAGTCACTGGTAGCAGTAGAAGCAGCAGCAACAGTTGCAGCAGCAGAATCACAGGTAGCAGCAGCAGCAACAGTTGTAGCAGCAGAGTCACAGGCGGCAGTAGAAGCAGCAGCAACAGTTGTAGCAGCAGAATCACAGGTAGCAGCAGCAGCAACAGTTGTAGCAGCAGAATCACAGGCGGCAGTAGCAGCAGCAGCAACAGTTGTAGCAGCAGAATCACAGGTAGCAGCAGCAGCAACAGTTGTAGCAGCAGAGTCACAGGCGGCAGTAGAAGCAGCAGCAGCAGTAGCGGCGGTGGCAGAAGGAAGGCGAGCCGGTCGGTAGCTGAAGGCGGCACCTGAGTTTAGTTGCAGCAGTGGACTAAGTAGAAGTGGCGGACCAAGTCGTAGGCAGAGGAAGGGAGAGAATACGTAGCCAACAGTGATGGCCGAGGGAGTGATAGCAGAAAGAGTGAGAGAAGCATTAGTAGCAGGAGCTGTGAAATGAGAACAGAATACAAATGATGAGTTAGAGGAGAGAGCAGAGTTAGCAGAACACGTGAGCAGAAACAGACACAGGAACTCGCAGTAGAACAAGACAACAATGAGAAGAGCAGTGAGCGGTTGTGATTCGTAATTGGATCAGTTCGCGTGAGAATGTGTATCGTGCACCCTTCCTCCACCCGACACTGCCAATTAATACAGCTGTCACGTGTACGAAGCGGGACAATTATTAATGATTCAACAGCACACCGGAGCGATCCACACCACATTTGACAATTGTGTACGGCGTTTTAGCTGGCAGAATACAACCAGCATCAATCATCAGGCAGTCGTCCGGATTTGTGGCTGTGTTGGATGGTGTACGACAACACGATTTACTCACGCAATCTGACCCAAACATCAATTAGGAACCAAAATGAGTGGTTGAAAAAGCAGCAGCAGCAGCAGCTGTGACAGCAGCGGCTGGTTCAGGAATGATGACAGCGGTAAGATTGGTAGCAGCAGCTCAGCGGTAGCAGCAGCAAGAGCGGTGACAACCTAATCAGATGCCATCCTGCCATGGTAGCAGGTTACCGGCGACACAAGTTCGACTTCCGGATATTGTGAATATCAGTGGCGGTCGAGTGAAATCTCATCCGGTCCTCCCTTCTCATCCCCCCACACCCCCTCCCTCCACATCCCCCAAACCCCCTCCCTCCACATCCCCCAAACCCCTCTCTCCACACCCCCCACACCCCTCCCTCCACACCCCCCACACCCCCTCCCTTCTCATCCCCCACACCCCCTCCCTTCTCACCCCCCACACCCCTCCCTCCACATCCCCCACACCCCCTCCCTTCTCATCCCCCCACACCCCCTCCCCTCTCATCCCTTCATACCCCTCCCTTCCCATCCCCCCACACCCCCTCCCTTCTCATCCCCCCTCACCCCTTCCTCCACACCCCCCCCCCCACACCCCCTACCTCCACATCCCCCCCACCCCATCCCTCCTCATCCCCCCACACCCCCTCCCTCCACATCCCTTCTCACCCCCTCCCTCCACATCCCCCCACACCCCCTTCCCTCCACATCTCCCCACACCCCCTCCCTCCACATCTCCTCACACCCCCTCCCTCCACATCTCCCCACACCCCCACCCTTCACACCCCCCACACCCCTCCCTCCACATCCCCCCACACCCCCTTCCCTCCACATCTCCCCACACCCCCTCCCTCCACATCCCCCCACACCCCCTCCCTCCACATCTCCCCACACCCCCTCCCTCCACATCCCCCCACACCCCCTCCCTCCACATCCCCCCACACCCCTCCCTCCACATCCTCCCACACCCCCTCCCTCCACATCCTCCCACACCCCCTCCCTCCACATCCCCCCACACCCCCTCCCTCCACATCCCCCCACAACCCCTCCCTCCACATCCCCCCACACCCCTCCCTTCTCACCCCCACACCCCCACCCTCCACATCCCCCACACCCCCTCCCTTCACATCCCCCCACACCCCTCCCTCCACATCCCCCCACACCCCTCCCTCCACATCCCCCCACACCCCCTCCCTTATCATCCCCCCCACATCCCCCCACACCCCCTTGTCCCCCCCCCCCCCCACCTTCGCGTGACTCGTCATTTCCACTTCCGGTCGGCGTCGCCATGGCAACCGGGAAGCCAAGGTAACATGGTGGCGGCTGCTGAATGTTTATTAATCGACAACTCGGCAAACACGCCTCGTTATAACTTTTTAAACATCATTGTCGCCTTGGTGAAGTAACGTTTACTGTTATTGACGCTGCTATTTTTTGTTGACGCCACTTTTAAAAGGCACGGGGAGGTGGGGGTTTACACCGCGCCGGCCGACTTTGGGGCGCGTAAACGCGTTGCGAAGGCTCTTTTTTTTTAAACTTAAGATTTGTTTTTACTTGTTTAACTACGATTAAACACGCAAATTCGTTCGTATCAAACGTGTCATTGTTTCATTTTCACTAGTATGTTTTGCAAGGCGCTATCAGTGCTTCGGCGGTCCTTTCAATTACCTCATACCTACACTGACGGCGCTATACTTTTCCCATTAAATATTATAATCATTCAAAGCAAAGGGGCCGTCCATAAATGACGTCACGCACCTGGGGGGGGGGGGGTCAGACATTTGCGACGATGTGTGACGAGGGGGGGGGATAAATGTGACGTCACATCAAAATGCGAAACTTTTAATAAATATAGAATTGTTATAACAACACTAATTGTCATAACAACACTCCTACAACGTCAGAGTGCAGCGCCACATTAAATACGCACTACAATGACAGTAGTTTAAAGCGATTTGAAGCATGTTTTATTTTCAAAATGGAAATATGGTTTTGGGGAGGGGGGGGGGTAGAGCTTTGTGACGTCATATTTGAGGGGGGGGTCTGACTTTGTGACGAGGGGGGGGGCAAACATCGTTCAAAATCGCGTGACGTCATTTATGGACGGCCCCATACTAAAAAAAATAATTCACAGCTGTTTTGTCAGTTCACTGGTGATTGACAAGCCCAGCGCTAGGTATTTAACCCAAGACGTCAGCAATGCTGGTTGTGTGTCTGCTGGAGCCTTTATGAACCCCCAAAGAGGAACGCTTAAACATTGGGATTACACCTAGGATAGAGTGAGATGTGATGTGACGGGTCGGTGGTGGGGGTGGGGGGTGAGTCCATGAACTTTTTTTTAAATTTGTGTTTGGGATGGAATGAAAGGGGTCTGGATGTCGCATTCTTAATCAACTAGAAGATAGGTGTGAGTGATTTGGAAAAAAACAGTATAGTCAAACATTTTGTATTTGCCATCATATCTGCAGATCCCAGCAGTTGTATTGTAATTGTGCCATTATCACATCATTCTTTTGATGTTGATAAAATTGGCACTTTGTAGGAAATCATCTTCGTGGGAAGTCAACAGTGATCGTCCTGGACCATGTCATGGGAATGTGAAAATTAACCACTCAAGGCTGCGAACAGACTTGAGTGTTGTCCAGAGCTCATTTGAGCTTGAAGACTCTGACTTGATCTGCAATCAGGACCAGATGGATTATCATCCACACTGACTGTCTCATCCACTTACGCTGAGCAAAGCATTGTAACAGGTGCATATTTTAAAAGTATATATTTCTGCATCTTCATTGATTAAATGTCACGTTCTCGGTGCAAACGTGTGTAGGCACATTATTTATTGCACCAATTATCTCCCTAAAAGGAAACACTCGCACTGAACCCAATTCATATTTCCTCGCAACGTTAAGCCTACCCAGGGTTAGTGTTAATGTCCGCATTGTTAAATTTCCACAGCACCTTGACATTACCAGCACGAGCGCTGTCTCGTGTTATTAATAGCCTTTCCTCATACCCGTGCGTATGTAAATGCTAATGCTGGAATGGGATTGTGCCTTACACATCTCCTGCACACGCGGCCTGCTGGGAATTAACTGGATGTTAACCGAACGCTCACCACTGAGCCATTTAATAACACTTCCATAAAACATAATTAGTATATTTGTATTTGCGCCATTCTTGTAGTGCAAAGCTATCGTGAAGGTGCCATGCTTCACATGTTGGTATTGTCTGCCAATCGGGGACGATGTTGCTGTGTGGTTTTTAACAAACACCAGGTTATTTTGTGGATAATATTTGTCGGCAAATTTGTACCATGAATGCCAGCACACCTGGCCTTTTTTTTCAAATAACGTCACATGATCTTTGGCGTTCACTGTGAAACAGACGGTGGTTATTTTTTGGTGAATACACAACAGCAGTATTATCCAGGATGGCGCTGGGCCTGAGCCGTGAACCTTTGCAACAAGCAGCAGACAGGCTGCTGCTCAGCCATTTACATGGAGTAATTGGTTCGATTAACACTGCAGACTTGCGTCAAAGTAGTTTCTCATTCAAATGAATGCAGGGGGGGGGGGGGGGGCGAATGCTCATGTCATTTTTTATCCTGAGCCAGATGTGGGGTTTCGACATTCCAATAGTTGGGGCAAGTTTAGCCAAAGACAACCATTGTTGACTTCCAACTGAGTGGTACTTTTTGATATGAAGTTTCGTGACTGCAGGAATCCATACTCTTTGGTTCTTTCGGTAAAGTCACGTAGGTAGAAATAAAATGAAACAAATCACGACGTTCCGATCGCAACACAAGCGGTCGTCATCAGGCAAAGGAGTCAGCCTCTAAAGGCAAACTGCTTATAAAGGTTTGGTGATGGGCGTAGCCCAAGTGTATCAACAGCACCAGGAGCATGGGCGGTGCACGAGTGCCAATGCAGCAACAATGCCAATGCAGCAACAATGTCAATGTAGCAGCAATGCCAATGCAGCAACAATGCCAATGCAGCAACAATGCCAATGCAGCAGCAATGTCAATGTAGCAGCAATGCCAATGCAGCAAAAATGCCAATGCAGCAGCAATGCCAATGCAGCAACAATGTCAATGTAGCAGCAATGCCAATGCAGCAACAATGCCAATGCAGCAACAATGTCAATGTAGCAGCAATGCCAATGCAGCAACAATGCCAATGCAGCAACAATGCCAATGTAGCAGCAGTGCCAATGCAGCAACAATGCCAATGCAGCAACAATGCCAATGCAGTGGGCGAGAGAGCTGCCGTGGCAAAAGGTTATATAGGTAAGAAGGGTGGGGGGGGAGCAAGGGGGGAGAGAGAGAGGGAGGTGGGGTAGGGGGATGGGGGGGCTGCGTGAGCGCTAGGGGGAGAGAGGAAGTGAATCTGGGGGGGGAGGGGGGGAGTGGGCGGGGCTGGAAGTGGGACGCTGGGGATGCGGGGGGGGGGAAATTAACTCGGGAAAATAGACGAGTACCCGGCAGATATGATGGAACAACCATAAACAGTTAAGGTTTTACCTGGTTAATAACATCCTTCCAATGATTTCTCAATTTGTATCCATCTTCTCGGTTGAAGTTATGTCTATGTTTATATATCTAGATGGCTTCATGAACAAACCTTTGATAGTAGCCCGAAGGTTTGCAGAGTACCTTGGTCTCGGAAAAAACAATATCATGCGAGCCCACAGCGTTATAACAATGGTCAGCCACGGCAGAGGTTCAGCCTTGTTTCAGATCTGCCGTGTGTTCGCGAACACGGTCCGAGACATGTCGTTTCGTTTCCCCAATGTAACTGCCACCGCAGGTACAACTCAGTTTGCAGACTCCAGGATATTGCATGTCAGGAATGACATCCTTCACAGATGGGATTAGATGACGGATTTTGTGTACTGTATTGAATCAGACCTGGATCTTGTGTTTGTTTAAGAGAAACAGCTTTACGAACCAACACCACCTAGCCAGTGAACTGGAACATGTACACCAGGCCCTCATGATTAATGGGTACTCGGACTGCATGTATTGGCAAATCTGTTTCTCCAACCATGGAGAAACAACCCCCTAAGAAGCCGATCAAAACCATCACGTTACCATACATAGCAGGTGTTACCAAAAAGATTTCCAAAATCTTAATTACGTGACTTTACCGAAAGAGTATGAGTGGTACTTTTATTAGATCCTGGAGGGATGAAGGTTGATTCAACCTCCTAACTCGATTTGAGCTCTGCTCTCCAATTCCAAACCAAATGCTGTAACCATTGCACAATCCACCCACATAAAATATGTATTGCTCGCTGTACAGTACTTTTAGATCATAAGATATGTGGTGACTCCGCTGCACTTTGTATGAATCATTTGGAAGTTAAAAGAGTTTTAAGTTACTTTAGCATAGACTTACTTTAGTATAGAGTCAGTTGAGAAAGCACACTCAATTTCCATGTTAATTTCCTGATGAAGCTCAAACAGTTTGAGCAAAACATTGTAGGTTGCTGTAAAAACAGTCATGAAATGTATTAAGCCACCAATCAGCTGTATTGGTCAGAATTTGATCAATAAATTGGCATGTATAAATAACATCTTTATACATCTGGCAATCTTGTCGGGTGGGGGAGAGTGAATGACAATAATTTTGTAATAGATCTACCACGTGGCATAACCCAAACCCAATACTGTATTGATCACTGTATTTACTATGAAAAGCTATGTTTTTAAGTTATAGGATAAGCTATGTAGAAGTACGAAAGAAAACATAGGCAAGTGTTGTAGATATATCGCAAAAATAAGGTGCGATGTGTACAGGATGGAGGAAGGACTGAACAGTCGCAACTAATTTGGCGTCCAAGGGGAAGACCTATGAGCAAATGCTGGAATACTGTTAGGAATTATTTTGAGGTCCCACATCTACTGTGCAGCTGCTGCAATTAAAAGAAAGAAGGCACTGACGAGGTGTGGTAGCATCGGTGGCTTTTGCCATGATGACATCTTGATACTTGTACGAAGTTAATAGTGGTTGACCTACGTAGAGATTGGCACATGTCACAGCAAACAGACGTTTTCAACACTGGTTCAGGGACACCATTGGAGATGAGCCCCGCCTGTCCGCCCCACGTTGGTTTGAGCGTAGACGTTTTCACTTGTTCATACACATCGTTGGATGACCCACCAGTTCTCCATCAGCTGAATTACACACTTGGTCCAGAATGAAGTACATTCCTTTTTTTGTAAAAGAAAAAAAATCAAGTACAGGAAATCATTTTGTTTAGCCTCAGGTAACACACACATGTGATAAAGCAGATAAGTTTGTTAC